GTGTGTGTGTATAGGTAGGTGTGTGTGTGTGTGTGTGTGTGTGTATGTATGTATGTATGTATGTATGTATGTATGTATGTATGTATGGTGGATCTGAGGGGGGTTCCATGTATGGCTCCGTCACCTTGATGGGTCTCAGACATGGGACGATGGATGGACATATTTCCCTGGCCGGGCAGAGAGGAGATTACACGTGACCATGTATTGGGTGATGAGGATGGAACACTATAGACCCCGGGGTTCCCCCCCAGTGGTGGTAGAACTACAAATCCCATGAGGCATTGCGAGACTCTGTCGGCCTCAGGCATGGAGACCGCTCTGGAGGATTTCCTTCTCATGAATCGTCAGTAGAGGGCAGTCTAGGGATGGAGGGAAGACATGGAAGCACGCGTGATCAATGTAGGACAATCTACGGCCATTGGGGGGGAACATGTTACATGTAACGCCGAGCACACGCATTACATTCCAAATGATTAATCTTATAAGTGACACTAAACTCCTAAAATCCTAAAACTCCCCACGAGTCCCCGAACTCCGAGCAACAATGTATCTGATTTGTGTCACTCGGATCCTCCAATCATCTCTGACACCGTCCTTCCCTCCATCACACACAGGGACATGTACTATGTGGCCCGCAACTGTCACCCAATGAAGTTAATGATCAGGTGACAGCTGCTGCATGTAAACGCCGGCACAGCGCATGTCATGGTATGTGATATTATTACATGGGACAGGAATCAATCACTCTCCCCGGATGCATGATCCATGTGTCCAGGGAGAATGATTCCTGTCCACATGTAATAATATCACATACATGACATGCGGTGTGCCGGCGTTGCTGCATGTAAACGCCACATTAGGCATTCCTGACGCAGGAGAACGCACGTTCCCGACACCGACTCTGTTGGTCCTCCTATGATTCAAATTAAAACCTGTAGGAAGACCCCCCACACGTGTACACACGCGCACACACATACATTCCCAACATTAGAAACACGCACAGACATTCCCGACATTGGTATTGTATGTAGTTACATTTAAATTTAAA